TGATTTTTACTCAGAAGCATGTCATTCTTTGTCCCTCTTTGTTGCTTTAAGGTCATCCCCTTGTGTACAAAGAATCCACTAAGCTTTGGAGTTAATGTTTGACACTCGATTGTCTTGGTCGCCCAATATCTTTTCCTTCCAAATTGAATGCCTAAGGCTCTTAACCCTTCCACTGCTCAGGGGTCCTGAGGACATTTGCATCCCTGTGCGCAAGAAAAAAAAATAAAAAATTATTTTGTCTTAAAATGTTAATTTGTGTTCCCTGAGCACGGGAAAAATAAAAAATAAATCATAGGTGACATATTTTGGGTGCAATTGACCGAGGAAGTCTGGCGAAAAGTGGGCGTTGACAGTGGTCGTCAGAGCCGGTCAGCGTCACCCGCGCTGACAGGTGGGAGTTGCACAAAGATATTATCACTTAATTATTTCTATGTCTTTGGTGGTTCCCCCTGCTAGGTCCTTGTGAGTGTACACGTCCCGGGGGTTCAGTTCTTAGAAAGTTGTTTGGTATTTGTGGGCACCAGTTAGCAGTACCCTGCCTGGGATTACCTGTGCGTGAGTCCCTATAGGTAAACGCTCGGGACCCTGGGAAACCTTGAGGAGGGGGGGCAAGTGGGTCCGATGGATGTGGCCCCGAAGTCCTCCCTCGCTTTGTGCAAGTTTGAGGACTCTGTCCCCTTGTCTCAGGGCGACACTCACTGTTTCGCCTCAGTCTGCTGCCTGTGGGGTCGGTGGCACCTATGGCCCGGAGCGCTGCGAGTTTTGTTGCTTGTTTATGGCTCGATTATCCAGTCTGATGCTGACTGTGGGTGCAGGCAACATGGGCGTTACAAGTTGAGTTTCAGTGGTGCAACGCGATAGATCGTTTGCTCCCCGGGAGCCCCGGGGCTGCCCTGTTTTGGTTGGTGTGATGGGGCTTGGGGGTGTTGGACGCTACAGTTTTATTCCTTCTGTGGCCATGCCCGCTTGTCTTTTCCCTGTTCTGGTCTCCCCCCCCCTTCCCTGCATCCAGATCCTTACTGTTTGTGGGTTCGGGATCGGAGCGGGGTTTCGATGGTCTTGAGACTGGCAGTCTCGGGGACTTCCCTCTTCCTGGGTAGCGACAGAGGCATTCGAGCCTGTTCCTCCAGCCGTGTTATATGAGTCTGCCAGTGGGCTCCCTTCCTTAGTACTTTTCCGGCTGCCCCAACTTTTTCTTGTGGGGGCTGGGACTTTGGGGGGATGGCTCGTCCCTGGGTGCCTGCTGAGTGGGTTCCCGGGGTTGGAGAGGGATTAACTTAGGGGGTTTGTGGCCCCATTGAACCCCGCCGAGGTTTTTTTTTACCCTCTTGAGCGGGGCTTTCGGGTACGAGGAGTGGGGTTTTTCCTCCCACCCCCCCCCCCCTCCCCGGTCCGTACGTGTTGTTGGCCATTGGCCCCTCCCTGTGCTCGGTTCCTTGTCCTGGGGGCCATTGTTCCATCCTGGTGGTGGGTACTCTTCTCTGTTTATTGCACCCCTTCTTTGGGACGGGACTTCTCCGTCACGTTCCCCTCTTCTCGGGGTTCTGCATGACTTTTGGTTTCGGGTGCGACTGTGCCTTCGTGCTTAGGGCTTGCTTCTGTGTTCTCAAAGGTTCGGTAAGGTTTTTGCTTCTTCCCATATTATTGGAACATCTGTCGTCTTCTGGTCTGGCTTCTCTCTGGTCCTTTCTCGGGCTTGTTGGTCCTATTCCGTGCTTCTTCTCGGTTTTTGGTTCTGTCTCGTTCTTTTGTAATTCTCTTCTTTCCATGCTGTCTCGGCACTGTTGGTTTTCTTTACATACTCCTACTTTGCGCCTCCCTGCCGAGCAGGTTCTGCGGTTTGGACCTTGTGTTCTGAGCATGTGCTGTGGGAGTTTGCTTTGGTCTGGGCGGTATGCACCAGTGCTGGTGTTTTCTCTTGGGTTCTTCGCCTCTCGCTCTTCTCCATTCTCCAGTCCGTGCCCCATAGCAACTGGGGTGTTCTGGATTGCAGGTATGGGGAAGATGCCGGGGTTTTCCTTGTGTTATGGGTGTGGGGCGCCTCCTTCGCCTCTGCCATGCTCTTCTCCTGCGTGTGCGGCTCTGGCCTTCTTCCCCTGGCGGTGCTCCCGGAATCTTCTCGGCTACTGTGTCGTGACATGTTCGTGCCTACGTTCGGCAGGTGAGTTTCTGCGGCCTGGCATCTCTTTTGGCCAGGCGCTGGTTCATGTGTTTTGGATACGAATATAAGACCATCAGCACACATGTGACTGCCGAGGGCCTGTTGGCCCATACGTGGCAGCTCCTATTTCTACCCATCCAGTCCCACTCATATGCATGTCTAACCTATGCTTGAATCATTCAAGGGACCCCACCTCATCCATGTTACGAGGTACGATGGTTGAGGTGCAGGTTTTGTGGTAAATGTTACTGTGTCAGGATGTTGTGAGGCGACATTTTGCTGCAGTTTTTTTGACTGGGGATGCGTGTTGAGGATTGATTGTGGGATTTTTCATAGTCTTATCTGGGGTCCCTCATTCCTTTCCCGTCTTGGAGTTCCAGGCTTATCCCTTCCATGTACACTGGTTTCTGTGTACTCGCCTAGTTGTCCGCCCCTGGTTGTGCTTGCTGGGGTTGAGCTTTGGCTCTTTCGTCCTGCCTCTCCCCTGTCACTTATCTGACATCTACTGGGCTCTGTCGTGTCTACTTGCAGCTGTGTGTGGGGTCAGCCTCCCACTTTCCTTTCTCATGCATTCCATTTGATTACTACTCTTGACACTGGAATGTTTCTTCCTGCGTTTCTATGGCTCCTTTGGGCGCTCAATTCTGCCTGTGTCATGGTGCGTGTGCCCCTGGTGTTCATTAGTCTGTCTTCGTTGCTCGTACCCCTCGGTTCAGGTACTAGTCTGGTGGCAAACCTTTGCACCTTATTCACTTTGATTTGTTGGGACAGGGCCTGCAACTCTGTGTGTTGGCGTGACTTGTTGGGGCATGATCTGCAGCTCTGTGGGTTGGTCATGTCTCCTTCATTCCCGATTTCCTGCATGCTTTCTTCGTTCATCATCTTCCTGCTTCACTCTTGTGTCTGGCCGCTGGTGCTGGGGCTGTTCTTTTGGTCTTTTCTCGGTTTATCCTTCGCACTGTTGTGTGTTTTATTTGTGCTTTTTGGCCCTCCTATTGCCAGGTTTGGGTTCCTGTTTTCCTGGCTTGCCCTGCCTGTTGGCATTTTCAGGGTCTCGTGGTGTCCCTTCTCTGGAGTCTTGCGTCGAACCCATAGTCTCTGATATCCTGGGGAGCTCGCTGGCATTGGGGAGTTTTCTGTTCAGCAGACATTCCATCTTCTTTGACGGCTTGGGTTTCCAGCTCTGCTTGCTCGGTTGTCGCATCCGAAATCTTCCCGCGGCTCCGCCGATGCTGAATTCCCATCAAGTCCTGGAGCATCTGCCGGCAACGAATGCTCTGCAAGCCATGTTGCACCCGCCAATGCTGAATTCCCATCAAAAGTCGTGTAGCCTCCACTAACGATATAAAATATGATTGAAAGGCATATAAATTAGTGTAAAAAGTGTTGATAGAGTACAGTTTTGTAAGTGTTAATGATTATTTAAGCCTTGACAAAAAGATACTGTACAGTGTAAATATACAGTAGAAATAATTTTCAATTGTGAATTAGAATTCTCGATTAGAGAATTTCTAGAGTTAGAACTCGTGTGAATTAGTAGTAAGACTAGCTGTTGTGTGAAGTGAATACCTGAAAATAAGTGTACATACTGTGTGTACCCTGTATGCAGTACTGAACAATATAAAACAAGCGCTGCAGAGGATGATGTAATCTTCACAGCTTTGTAATCTTCAGTTTCATCAAAAGTAAGTCAATTTACCAATAGTATTACAACTTTTTTTTTTTCAACAAAAGCTACATATTAGTCTCTGTAAATGTTTATTCTATCATTAGCAGAGAAAAGGTGAACTCAAAATATTTCCTCTTGGCTAGCTCTCAGTGACAAGGCTCGATCGCCATTGTATGGCATGGCCGCCACAGCCTGTGTCATAACATTAAAAATACATTACCTGCACTGTACAGGGTAAAACAAAACACATCTCTAAAATTTTATTGAGAAAATATTAACAATCACTGGGGTTGTTAATGTGCATGAAATATTTTGGAATACTAAGGAATGAACCAATTTTTTTCCCACCCATTTGGACTTGATCAGAGCGTGTTCACACATCATCCATGCAGTAGCCAACAGCTGGCTTAATCGTCGGCGTGGCACTAAATTGGAACGCAGTTACACAATGAATTTTATGTAATTTTAGTTATACAGTATAAAATATATCTTGCCTGAATGTTACTTGAAAAATTACCCGACCCGACTTCGGAAATACCAGAGCTCCGGAAATAACGACCAGGGTACAGCCCCATATAGGCCGTTAAATTGAGTGGATACTTATGTAATTAACGTATGTATGTGCATGCATGTGCGTAAGTATCCACTAGGAAATTGAAACTAAAGTTCTGAATGTTTTCGTGTTTCAACACATTATCAAGGAAATACATTAGGATGACAGGAGTTTGGGATTATATACCCAATAACACCTGAATTGAAAAAGAACCACATGCTAAAACATCAATGGAGGTGAGATGATAAAGTGGAAGGGAAGGAGAAAAGTGCCAGGTCATTACGACTATGTGGCACTTGGAAATGGTCAGGATCAGGATAAGGATGGGATGGGGAGGTGGGAAAGAATGGTGCCAAGCCACTTGGACGGTTGGGGATTAAACGCTGACCTGCATGAAACGAGGCCATTGCTCTACCGTCCAGCCCAAGTGGTTGGGCATGATAATGGATATTAACTGTGTATTAAATAGATACTATACTAAAATATGTGTGTGTATTTTGTACAGTACATAATTATGCTGTACTGTTCATCTTAATTAAATACAGTACTGTATAATTTTTTGTACAGGCATTTTATATTATTGGAGGCTCGTACTTTTACTGTATCTTAAATTGCAGGTGTAGCTGTCTTGTCTGCCCTATGAAGCGTGAAGGCTCCAGTGTCAGGATGATAGAGCCAGCACATGCACAGCTACGTTGTTATAAAGCATTCTCCAAAAATCGCAGAAACACACTTTTGACTGAACAACATGTACAGTTCAGGCATATGCAGCCTGACTACTCCCAGTTGCAGTTGAGACCAAGTTGCAAAGAAAATAAAAGAATGACAGTCTTACAGGACATTAAGCCCGGTGAGGTGTCAGTTAATTATGATGAATTGAAAAAAAAAGAATTGCTTGATAAACATTATAATTTGAAAAGCAGTGGAAATTTGTTTGAGTGTCATCCATCGATATCAAAGACCTGGGGATTTTGTAAAAAGCAGTTGAAAGACAGGAATACTCCTGGGGATTTTAAAATGGAACCCAATTATGAAAACATAGTATCATCCCCAGAACCCCGTGAGTGCTTATGGTCTGAGGAAGATTGTCACAAATGGAGAACTGCAAGGGAAGAAAAACTTGATGGAAAATTGGAGGAAGGACAGTTTGATTTGTTAAGTGTTATCGAGTGTGATTGGGGAACTTATTCATTCAAACAGAACTTGAAATGTGTAAGTATCCACTAGGAACATGAAAAGAAAATTCCAAGCACTTTTGTGTTTCACCACATTATCAAGGAATACAGACAGAAGACAAAAGGTTTGGGATTATATACCCAACTACATCTGAGTAGATAAAGGTCCATTAATGAAAGCGACATGAAGTTGGGATGATTAATTAGTTGATGAACTGGGTATTCCTTCTTTCTTGGAATGTATTACACATAAACTTATTCTTTAAATAATTTTATGCCTATTACAAATCATACTAATTATAAAGAAATCTTACTTATATAATTCTGGGTTTGTATTAATAGTAACTAATTCTCTACTTTTATAAATGAAGATTCAATAATATTTTTCAGTAACTGATTTACACCACAATTTTGCATGAATTAGTCTAGTCAATTGGTGATGCCCTTTACCAATGCATAGGTCATTGGCAGCCCATCCTCCTGTTTTGGTAGTACTTATAGGAAGGATAAGGACCATTGTATGTATTCCAACGTACAACACAATTAGAAAGTTGAAATTGGTACTATTGAATTTGGACAAACCGGGAAAACAATTTTCTACTCGTGTTGCAAAGACAATCTAACCTAACTTTCCTAGGCCTAATACCCGCTCTGCTATCTGAGGCCTAATATACTGTAGTTGTGTGTGTGCTATACAAGGTCTAGAAAAATTTGTTTGTTTTCTGGGGGGAACTCCCCTCCATGGTGTCGTCTTGTCGTGGTGAGGGGCTCACGTACTCCTCCCTGGGGCCGGTGAGGGTTTCCTTCACCCCTTCTCCTGCCCCTTTTTGGGTGTTGTACGTGCGAAAGGACACCATGTAGGAGCCTTGAATCATCGGACTGCCTGCTGGAGGGCTCGCCTGTGAGGAGATGGCTTAGTGTTCAGACTGGGGCGGTAGGGGAAATGAGGTCTTTGCACCAGTGAGGGAGAAGGAACGATGCAGTAGGACTCCCGTTAAAAGGAGGGGACACCTCTGGGGACAACGCACCCCTTGTTGCACTGGTCCACACTCGGCCTCCCTGGTAGGTATCCTGGAACCATGGTATTCCTTGGTTCCAGGCCCCAATCTGTTTAAAATGATTGATTTATGGACAACGACATGACCTCTCTTACCCAGGTTCATGGGGGTAGGCGACCAGGCCCCCCGAGTCGGACTGTGATGGAAGACCGGGCTCTGTAGCCCCTGCTACATTGGGCCCAGACTGGACTACAACCCTCCCCCCCCCCCCCCCCCCACCTCGTCCTCTGTTGTAGGGTCGAGCCTCGAGCACCCCAATGGTGACCACCTCATCCCGTGACAGGCTCCATCTCTCATTGAGATGAGAGCTTTTTAACCCCCATTCTAGGAGTTCTCACCGCCATCCCCGCCACAGCCGATCTTGCATGATCCCTCTCCATACTGATTCGTACCACGCCTTGTTTGGTCCTGCTACGTGGGTTAAATCCTTTGATCTTCACCATCTGGAGTCTTCTACTCCCGATGATTTCTCCCTCCATAGGCACCTTGTTGATTTGGTAGATGCCTGTGTTACTTTTAACCCCACCTGTCTCGGTATGCGTGTCGTTACTGCTCCTTCTCAGGATGCAGCTACCCTCTTGGCCGCATTGTCCTGCATTGGGGAGACCCCTGTTCGGGTCTCTGGCACTATTCTCCTCCCACACCATGTTGCTGCCAGTGTTAGGGACCTCAAGTACTGCCATGAGGATATTAAGCATGTCCTCGAAGCCTAAGGCCATTCTGTCCTTAACCCTTAAATGGCGCATAGCTATATACCATTTGACACCCACAGGCGCATACCAAAAAAAAAAAAAAAAAAAATTATATTTTCTTCCTAACCTGTTAATTTGTGTTTACTGATCACAGGAAAAATAATACAAAAATCGTAAGTGGCATATATTGCCCGCTATAGGGCGGGGAATTCTGGCAAAAAACAGGCGCTGACTCAGCATGAGTCCCAAGTGGTCTGTTGATCGCCAGCTGTCAGGCCGGAGTTGCCACAAAGAGATAATTACCTAATTATTTCAATGTCTCTGATTGATTTTTCGTAGTTTTTTTTGCTGTAATATTATTCAATAGTGTGTAGTGTGATATATTTTTTATAATAAACTGAGTGAATCATCGCTGTACTCAAAAATATGGTATGCACATTGTTGATTCAATTACTGTATGTTCATCAAACAGTGAACAAATACTTTGTCGGTTATTACACTATATACACTTAAAGGTACAAAGACGTAGGACCTCACACAGTCAGCTGATGGCTGCCGCCCTCATGGCCAGACGCACTAATATTTCTCCTACAACAATACTGTTTGTGGTGCTATTACGCTATATACACACATTATATATAAGTATCTACCTGTTTTATTCACCATACTTGTACAAGTAAACTGGTATGGTGCCCAAAGACCATCGTGGTCATCAGAAAACATGGTAAGTCCTGCAGACGACGCTCCACCCTCACCAAATTGGCGGCTCCCAACCTTCTCATCTTGCTGTTTATACCCTCTATACACACGTTATATGTAAGTATCTACATTTGTGTTCACCATACTGAACCACTAAGCTGGTATGGTGAATGCAGTCAATAAAAGATGGCCACAGACAGTCAGAAGACATCGCCACCACCCTCCCTCCCACAGCATTACTCCTCCCTCCCACAGCATTACTCCTCCCTCCATGGCGCACAGCGCTAAATATCACCACAATCCTGCTATTATCAGAACCCTGGTCAGTTTTATCAGTCAGGGGTCTTCTGTAATAATATCATCGCTACATAATAGCATGAACAAGAATATTATGGCATTTTTAGGCGATGCTGTGGTCACAAGCTGAACAGCAGTGCTGTGAGTTCATGCTGCGTGCGTCAGGCTTGGTTGCTCACTCAATACTGAGGCCCCTAACACCTGGGAGTTTGGCCCATGATTTAAAAAAAAAAAAATGGCATCTGTTTACAAGAGCCCTGATGAAGAAGGTAATTACCTAAGTGTAATTACCTAAGTGTAGTTACAGGATGAGAGCTACGCTCGTGGTATCCCGTCTTCCCAGCACTCTTTGTCATATAACGCTTTGAAACTACTGACGGTCTTGGCCTCCACCACCTTCTCCCCTAACTTGTTCCAACCGTCTACCACTCTGTTTGCGAAAGTGAATTTTCTTATATTTCTTCGGCATCTGTGTTTAGCTAGTTTATATCTATGACCTCTTGTTCTTAAAGATCCGGGTCTCGGGAAATCTTCCCTATCGATTTTATCAATTCCTGTTACTATTTTGTATGTAGTGATCATATCACCTTTTTCTTCTGTCTTCTAGTTTTGGCATATTTAATGCCTCTAACCTCTCCTCGTAGCTATTGCCCTTCAGTTCTGGGAGCCACTTAGTAGCATGTCTTTGCACATTTTCCAGTTTTTTTTTTATGTGCTTCTTAAGATATGGGCACCACACAACCGCTGCATATTCCAGCTTTGGTCTAATAAAAGTCGTGAACAATTTCTTTAGTATTTCTCCATCCATGTATTTAAAAGCAATTCTGAGGTTAGGAAGTGTAGCATAGGTTCCTCGCACAACATTTTTTTATGTGGTCCTCAGGTGATAGTTTTCTATCTAGAACCACCCCTAGATATCTTTCTTTGTCAGGATTCTTTAAAGATTTCTCGCATAATATATAGGTTGTGTGGGGTCTATGTTCTCCTATTCCACATTTCATAACATGGCATTTATTAACATTAAATTCCATTTGCCAAGTGTTGCTCCACATACTTATTTTGTCCAGGTCTTCTTGAAGAGCATGACAATCATCTAGGTTTCTTATCTTCCCTATTATCTTAGCATCATCAGTAAACATGTTCCTGTAATTCTGTATTCCCACTTGTAGATCGTTTATGTAGACAATGAACATTACTGGTGCAAGAACTGATCCCTGTGGTTCTCCACTTGTGACATTCATCCAATTCGATACCTTGCCTCTGATTACGGCCCTCATTTTTGTGTCAGTTAGGAAATTTTCCATTCATGTTGGTAGCTTACCTGTCATCCCTCCAATATGTTCGTTTCCAGAACAACCTCTTATGGGGGAACTCTGTCAAAAGCCTTTTTTAGGTCCAGATAGATGCAGTCAACCCAACCATCTCTTTCCTGTAAAATCTCTGTGGCTCGATCATAAAAACTGAGTAAGTGCGTTACACGGAGGCGGTCGGCCGAGCGGACAGCACGCTGGACTTGTGGTCCTGGGTTCGATCCCAGGTGCCGGCGAGAAACAATGGGCAGTTTCTTTCACCCTATGCCCCTGTTACCTAGCAGTAAAATAGGTACCTGGGTGTTAGTCAGCTGTCACGGGCTGCTTCCTGGGGGTGGAGGCCTGGTCGAGGACCAGGCCGCGGGGACACTAAAGAGCCCCGAAATCATCTCAAGATAACCTCAAGATAACAGGATCTTCCAGATCGATAACCATACTGTCTGTCTGATATTATATCGTTTTCCTCCAGGTGTTCTACCCATTTAGTTTTAATTATTTTTTCCAATATATTGACTATTACACTTGTCAATGATGCAGGTCTATAATTAAGGGGGGTCTTCCCTGCTTCCACTTTGGAGATTGGAACTATGTTAGCCTTTTTCCACACATCAGCTACAACTCCTGTAAACAGGGTTGCCTGAAAAATCAGTTGAAGTGGAATGCTGACCTCAGGTACACTCTCTCTCAGAACCCATGGTGAAACTCCATCTGGACCAACTGCTTTGTTCTTACTTAGCTCCTTGAGCATTTTTTCCACTTTGTCTCTAGACACCTCTATGTGCTCTATGTTGTTCTCTGGAATTCTTATTGTGTCTGGTTCCCTAAAGATTTCATTTTGTACAAACACACTTTGGACTGGACTGTAGCTACTGTAGTAACAGTAGCATTCAGGTGTGTGGGTTGTGATGCTGGTTATGTACTCACCTGGTAGGGCTCTCCTGGTTGTGCTTGCGGGGTTTGAGCTCTGGCTCTTGGGTCCCG